CACCACCACCACCATCACCACCATCACCACCATCACCACCATCACCATCACCACCATCACCACCACCACCACCATCACCACCACCACCACCATCATCACCATCACCATCACCACCACCACTACCATCACTGTTGTAATTTAAGACAGGGTTCAAGCAGAGGGTTTTTTTTTTTTTTAATATGGGAAAGGGATCATAAAAGGGGGGAAGGGAAGGGGAGAGACTGGCCTGTGGAGACAGGAGCAATATGAGAGAGGAGAGAGGAAAGAGGGGGAGAGAGGGGGGGGAGAGAAGAGAGAGAGAGAGGGATGGGGTAGACTGGGCACTTTTGAAAGGGAACATAGTGAATATGCACAGGTGGTGCTCTTAGTGGCTGCAGCTGAGGGTGTATCCTGTCAGAACCCCAAGGTTAGGCCAGTACAGATGCCTGGATACTAGCAATCATCACCACCATCACCATCACCAACACCAACACCAACACCAACACAAAAATGTAATAAGAATATTTTTTTGTCTGTCATTTTTAAAATTTATTTTTAATTTAGTTTTTTTGAGGCAGGCTCTTGCTGGGTAGCTCTGACTAGCCTGGAACTCCCTATGTAGACCAGTCTAGCCTCTAACTCAGCCACCTGCCTCTACCTCCTGAGTGCCGAGATTAAAGGTGTGCACCACAACTCCTGGCACATAATTTTTTTTTAACATTTTCAGAGTCCTATAGGAATGGATCTCTTGGTTACCAATAATAAGTGCAAACTTTTAGTAATCGTAATAGCTTGTGTTTACTGAGGCCTGCTTGCTTGGCATTGGTCTAAGTCCTTTAAACTTGATAGTTTGTTTAATCCACACAGCAAACCATTGAAATGAGATTATTTGTATCTTGTTATCTGTGTTAGGAAACAGGCTAGGAGAGGGTAAGTCAATTGCCCAAGGTCACAGTGAATAAGCAGCAAAGTTGAGATGTGAGTTCAGACATCCAGGTCTTAAGGATTTTTCTTTCCTGCTAGGACACTGTGCTTCCAACTAGAGAGGGACAGGGCTTGCCTTAAGTCACTCAATGGAAGATACTCGGGGCAGGAGAGGGTAGCAGAAGTGATGGGGCGAGCTTCGATTCAGCTAGACCACGCCCCAGTGCACCCAAGCATAGGTGGCTGAAGAGCCTCCTTGGAAGTGATGGGGAATGGAGAACAGTATGGGTCCTCAGCTCCTGCAGAGAGCCCTGACTGAGTGCATGGGCAGATAAGCTGCTTTGGATGAGGAGGGAGGCATAACACACATGGAGGGTGTGTGGCTTGCTGTAGGTCTTTGTCTTAGTTTTGGGGGGGCAGTTAGCAGGGCAAAGCTGCATTGCCCTGGATGAAGGAGAGGCAGGGTTGTCACTAGCAGCAGTGTTCTTATCACCTGCCCTCCACATCCATCTGAAGGGGCACCAGGCAGTTAGCCTCTGGGAGACTGCATCTTGGGCCTCTGTGGGGGCATGTGGCGGGACAGGACACTAGGGTACAAGGCCACCTGCCCTCTATACTAGGAGTGGGGTCTTTGGCCCAGGACCTAGGGAATGGGAGCACCAAGTCTCAGGTTTTGTGGATTCTTCAGTAAATATTTATAAACTACTTGCCTGGGATTATTGTCAGCCACTCTCCTTTCTGTGTGGCCATAGCAGCTGTTTATGAGTCCTATTTGATGGGTTGTACATGAGACATGTGGCTGATATCAGTCCTGAAGTCTCCTCTGTGCCAGGCACTATGCTAGGCACAGGACATGTGGTGACCCTCCAAACCCGTGCCTTCATAGAACAACAATCCAATGAATACCAAACTATGTAAGTCTGGAAACCCTGCCCACAGAGAAGAGCCTATTCTAGCTTAGAGTCAGGGATTCCCGGCCCTGGCCAGAGGCTAAGCAACACTTCCTTGTCCTTCTCTGGCCAGGGCACCAATATTGCATCAGGCAAAGCCCTGG